TCAAGTGTGTGGTGAAACAGGAAAGGGGTTAATTATTAGAAATTTTAAATCACAATTTTATAAGCCATTACAATACATGATTTTTAATTAGTGGAACACCTTCCATATTGAAAATGTTCCCTTCAATTACACAGAACACAAATATTTTTCTTCAACGACAAGACTATTTTGTAGCCAGGTCGGCTTCGTAGACCGCTAACAATGAATTGCCGCGGTTGATCTGAAATACGACGGACGAAATGAACAGTTGATCGTCCGCACAACGGGCATTCAGTAGTCTCAACACTACTGTAGCCAACCTTATAGTCCAAAATTCCCATCAAGAAACTTTTTTTCCTTTCTGTCCACGTTTTCAAGATTCTAGCCCACCGTGAGCCGCGACCTCAGCGTGATCGATTTAGGAATATACATTTTGAACAAAATCAGCTGAACTGTTTAGCCGCTAGCGTTCTTCACACACAGATGGACATACGTTTTCCCGTCAATCGATTTTTCGGTATCAAGGACCCACAAAGCATGAATTATGGCTACCACATGTTAGATGTTTTTTTTCTATATTTAGAAACTGTGTCTATGTACTTTTTCTGTGCGAGGACCATGTAATAGTTTTTCTACTGAATATTCTCCGTTTTTTCGCGCAGCATTACATAAATTTCCCTCTACCGCGGTAATGGTAGCGAGAAAGTTAGTGGAGCGCATCTGGCTGGTATTTTAGTTAAAAAAGTATACTTCTTCTAAACAAGTTTATAATAAAAAGAAATTTTAAATATACAGTTGTCTGATCCGTCCATCCACAAGCACGGCATGTTGCAAGAAACATTATCTATAAAAATACTTTTTTGATTTATTCTAAAATTACGCGTACGTATCGCCAATATGATGAATTATATCCTAACAATTTTTATTACGCCAAGACGTACAGTAATACCCTGACTCCTTATTAAAGATGCCTTGAAGCCCCCCAAAACACATTTTTCTTTATAATTCTTCCAGAGTATTCTAGATAGAACCGGTTTAAATGTTGTTATAATAAACAATTTATTATGTCAATTGTTGCCATATGGACCAAATTATTTCAAATTTGGCGCCGTATTTGGAATTCAATCATTTTGACAATTCTTTGGGGTTTAATTAAGAGTAAAGAATATACATTTCAAACTTGCCGTGCCAGATATAAAATCGCACCTCCAATAGAAAAGTGACACAAGCGCGAAATCGTCATTTTTCAGCTAAAAGCTGATAAGGGACTACCAAGAGGTACTGTTACTATTCTGAAGTTGATTTTGAATTAGTTCAATTACTATCCGCTAGAAGGTGAATATTTGGTATAATCTATAACGAGTATTACAGAACTACGAAACTTAAAATTGCAATTTCTGAGAAATCAGAAATTCGC